GAAGGGCTACTGGGGTTTTCTGTCGGTTACTAAAGACCCACGGGAATAATATTGGAAGAACGTAACGAAAGGGCCAAGATGAAAAGTGGTTTTATTAGACACTATCTGTCCGGTTTCATATAAGCGCTCGGTATCTTCTCATAATAAAGAAGCTAGGGTGAGTGAGAAAGGGTTGTAGAAGCATGCGTTGGGAGAAAGGATACAAATGATGGGCTGGATATGCAATAAAATATGCTATAGAATTAAGTGTATTGACATGCTCGCATCACTGACTGCAAACCCTGCCAGATGTGGCAAAAAGACGGAACCAGTAGAAACGCTGAACCTCTTTTTTTACGGCCTACTGTGTTGCTTCTTAAATTTCGCAACTACCGCCACAACCAGTCCGGTTTGGTTATCTTGAGAACTAGTGGCTTAAAAAGACAGCTCTAGTTCAGAGGCAACTGTGGTAGGGGTGCGGGGATGGTAGTGCTAACCCCACATATACGGGGATTAACAAGAGAACCAAAAGATCGACCTACCAAAGTTGTTTCGGTGGATGAGTCCAACAGAGGGGGCGTGCAGGGTTGAGCAGGCAGTCGGCGAGGGAAGGCCACAGCAGGAGATGACGTTATGAAAGCCAGGCCTCCAAAGACCAGCATCCCCATCCACCAAGCCCCTAACCAGGCGGCGTTGTAGGTAGTCAGAGAGGAAGGCGGCCGGGTAGGGTGATCGATGTAGACTTGTAGGAAAGCAGCGCCGGCAATAAAGCCGCAGGCTGGCCCCAGAGCTGCTGCACTGTAGAAGAGACCTGTAGTGGAAAACGCATTAGAAAAACTTAGGAAAAGTCTACTTTTCTGGCTCTCTCTCTCTCTCTCTTGCGTACTTCTAAGAGGCTTATAAGCTTAGCAAAATATGATTGATCGCTGGCTAAAATGACCAGACCACATTAAAAGCGCTGGCCAAACCGCACCTCACTTATGTGGCACCAATTTGGTCTCCTACGATCAGCTCTTCCAGCCTCCGCCACCTTCAGTCAACACAGAACGCCGCCCTCCGCTCAATCACGGGGTACTATAAAATGTCGCCTAAAGATCATCATTATGCGCAGGACTCTGTCCTGCCGGTCGCCCTTCCTAACGCACTCTTGTGTCAGCAGTCTTGGTGGACCTGTTCGCAACCCGGTCATCCTAATCACCACCGTTGACATGCTCCTGAACCCAGCCGAAGCGTTCGGTCGTCCAGTAGAGCTCTCCACAAGGAAGCTGTCGCCCCGTGTCTCTCGAATCTACGCGTTGATGGATCTGCCATCATGACAGGCTTCGAGCGCTTTCACCAGAGAGTCGTTGTCGAAGCAAAACTAAGCTACCATCCCACGATACTTTTGGGTGGCTATCTCCCTCCAATCGCGGCCTCGGAACAACAACTCCCGAGGGCTACTCGCTGTACAGCCAAGCTCAACTGCAGTAGCTACTCAATGCTCCGCCGCCAGTACCAACGCCAATTCGACACGTCCACATCCGACAGCTGTCCCAATTGTGGCGTTTCTCCACATGACTGTCAGCATCTTTTAGCCTGCAATTCCCGGCAAGGCACCCAACTGACCACCACGGACCTATGGCTCAAACCGGTCGAGGTCTCGGCTTTTCTCCGTCTTCCAACTGCAACCAGTTTGGACTCCGGTGGGGACTCTTGACTCGACAAGGGCTACGACACACGCCATTCCTTTGCGTCACCCTAGTTTTCGCTAATTATCGCCCTTAAAAATGGCTGAAAATAAGGGAGCAGGCAGCGAAGA